TGCTGACTATTATTAATATGTATATGAGAATTTTTGATGGTTCCATTTTTTACAGATGTGAGTAACTCCTAGTTTAAATAAACTGTGGATTGTAAAGACTGTTTTGTGGGAGTTCAGCTGTGTCCTGAGTGAAGGATGACGCGTGGGTTGCCACAGCCTCTCCGTGCCTGAGAGCTGCCTGTGGTGTGAGCTGTCCCCAAGGCATGTGCAGGACGAAGTGAAGGCTCCAGATGACTCCCCAGCAAGAGACTGAAGCTGTTAGCAGTGCAGTGTCCTGCTAGTAACAGCTGCTGTGAGCTGTCCGGGAGCAGTGCAGCTCTCCCTTGCAATGAGCCTCTCAGCTGATTTGGCTCCAGTCTCATGCTGGTAACCAGGGGAGGGGGATCAGAGTTTGGGGATTGGGAGGCTCCAGATGTAGAAAGCCAGGCCTTGTCCACTGCTCTGTGGGGACTTCCCCCACAGTTCCTGTGCATGGTCCACTCATACCTGAACAGGTGTTGCAGGAAAACACTTGACCTTGCTGTCATGGCTGCTTGGAAGAGCTTCAAAGTGGCCAAAGGCATGAGTTCAGTTCCAGGATACCTTGCCATGCAGTCAGTCACCCTATGCACTGTCAGCCCTCAGGCCAGGCTGAGATGTTCTGCAGGCAAGGAGGGCTGGGTGGGACCAAGACCCTTTTGTTACTTACAGCTGAGGCTACTCCTCAGTTGGCATCCACAGCCATGAAGGAATGATGAAGTAACTCGGGTTTCTGTCTAATTGTAGAGCTCATGACTGTGCAGGAAAGCATAACATTTGGTGTATCCTAACTTGGCTTAAGGGTGTCCCACACAGAGAGGCTCAAGTTTTAGCTTTCTGACATCACTGGGTGCAGTTTACCAATCCTCTTCCTTTTTCCTTTAGACAAGCCAGAAGAGTATACAGAAATGTTAAGATTCATGGCTGGAAATACCAAATGAGTCAGAAACTGGAACCTTGCTGAAACTAGATTCATTAACCCAGGTTTAATCTGAACACTTGATGACATCTGGTCTTTTCAGACAGCTCAGCTATGCAGAAACCACTAAGGTGATGGCAAACCCTACTGCTTTTCCTCCTTTTGACTACAGCTAGTTCTGAGAAGTTTTAGGGTTTACAGATGTTAAACCAAACTCATTGAGACAAATCCAAAGCTTTTATTTAGTGTAAAGTCAGAAATACAACATCTTGAAAATGTTCATCAGTTCCATGAAGGCCACAGCAGTGGGGTGTGAAATGGCACAGAGATGGAACGACTGCTACACACATATGGATAACAAAGCACTAGCCAACCTACAACACAAGCCCATGTTTTAAAGGTTACTTTTATCTTGGGAAGCTGCTGAAGTCTAACAAGTGCATGCTGTGCTACCAGGGAGCCCTACAGTGCAGGAGGAGGGGCAGTGCCATGGCTGGGGAGCAGGGATGGCTGCAATGCAGTGCAGCCCTTCCAACGCAAGGGCTTGGTGTGACTGTTCAATGTGCAGACTCGACTAAGCGTGTGACCTACACTACCTGCCAGCAATTCTTGGGCTAACTTAGAGTTCCAGAAATGTGAGAGAGGAGTCCACAGAAGATTAAACATCATTTTGGGTGTTTACAAGGACCCTATGACACAAACGGTGTCACCCACCTGTGTCTTGGTGGGAAAGCATTTGTCATCATTGGGTTTCTTGGCCCAGACTTGTGAACAGCTCCCAGGACTGAACTGTAAGGGGTTTGTTTGCAGTTTCCTCCCTTGTTCACACTCCAGTGAGCACTGCAAAGCCATTTTACCTGGGAAGAAATGGAAATCTCATCTTCTGGAGGGGAAACCTCACAATGTCAACACTTGAGCCACAGCAGTGCTTTGCTGCCAAAAACTCAGGGGTTGGGAGGGATTTATTCTACTCTTCCATTAAGTCATTCCCAGGAAGGTCCAAAGAGATCCCTGAACCATTGGGTTTCCCTTGAAATGGCTTACTGACTGAAGAGATACCTCAGTTCTGGCTACTATCCCTAAGTAAGTGCTGCTGTATGGCAAGATCAAAGAGGTGCAACTACCTACCAATAAATTTACATCAGTGGTTGTGTTTCAGCTTCTACCCTCCCTTAATACTGACCATGCATGACGTGCTGCTCCAGGGGAAGTGCTCAGCCCTGTCCCTGGGCTGAACTCCCTCACAGGACCTGCTGCCAGCCTAGCCAGTACAAAACAACACCTTGACACTAGGCATGGCTCAGAGCAGCAGCTTTGAGAGGCAAAAGCCACCTTTGTTCCACTGCAGCCTTCTGCCTTAGGTGTTCTGTGCAGTGCCTCAAGCAGCACTTCACAAGATCAGACTCGGGCAGGAAAAGCTATTCAAGGCCTGAAGCAAAGACAAGTTTGGCACTTCATGAGGAAAGTAAAAGGGGGAAAGACTTGTTCTCAGCCTGTGCACAAGCAGCATGAGGAATGTTTCTGAGAAGCTTTTCACACAGGGTTTTCCTTAACTTCATCCCAGGACTGAGAACCTCAGGCAGATCACACGTTGTGATGCTGTGCTGAGCACTCTGAGGACAGGGACAGTGGCAATGGTTCCAAGTGCACATATCACAGCACTCCAATACTGCATCAGTTTGATACTGCCCTGATCAAGTGCCTACCCTTGTTCCTCTCCCCTTACAAAGAGTAATCCCCCAAGGACCTAGGCCAGCCCTGCAAACAATGCCATGCTGTTTCTGCCTCTGGGTTACTGGGTTTGTTTCGAGCTGCTCGGCCGAGCTGTGAGCAGTACTACAGTGATTAAACACGGCTGAGGTGAAAAGGGGATGCAATGAGACTGACTATCCCTAGCAAATGGGATTTCAGCACGATCCTGTGTTATTTTGCCAGTTGAGAACTCTACCCTAAGACCTCCCAGAGTGCCAACAGAGCTTTGCTTAACCTGACAAACTGGATCCCATGTTAGCAAGGTATGCTCATTTTTAAATAAATAGGAAACTTTAGTATCTACACTACATTTGCACATTGCTTAATCTCAACACACAAACTCACGTCTCCTGTTCATGATAATGCTCTTAATTCTGTTTGTCACCAAAGTTTATAATCTTTAAGTATCCAGTACGCCACAAACTTAAGGTATGTTAGCTCATGTAGCCTATGCCAGTTAAAACAAAAAAGACAGCAGCAATGCAATACATCATCTGGGAGCCAACCCTTACTTCCTTTTGCTTTTCGTGTCAGTAGTCTGGAAAACACTAGACGCTGACATCAGATTTTCTATATACTGTCCAAGAACTTGGTTTTCTGATTTCAGTTTCAAGTTTTCTTCCTTAACAGCATCTACTCGTGCTGAGAGATCTGTGAAGGTGAGAAGAACATTAGACACTATTGCACACAATCATCAGCATGTTCTGTGGGGCTGCACCAAACTGCTCACTCCTCTCATGCAGGGAACATTACCACGGGGTACTACAAAACACCCTGCTACCATGACAGCCCAGTTTTCTTGTCTTCCTATTAGTCTTCAGCTATTCTTTGCTTGAGTTTTTGAATTAAGCTATTGCAAACTACTTGGAAACTAGTTCAGTGCTGAGCAGACTCAAAGGATGTGTGTCAACAGCTAAGCCTGGACAAGGTAACTGTACCAGCCCTTCTGCCTGACGTACATTATCAGAGCCAAGCAAACGCTGCATCAATAGTCTCAGGACCTTTCTCAGGTACCTTCAAGTGACACACTTCTGGGCACCGTGACTAAGGTAGTACAGAGCAGGAAGGTTCTCTTGCTCATGACTGTGGCTTGTAAAAAAATCTGATGTGTTGAGCTGCTAACCTTCAAGTGTGTGCTGCAATTCCAAAACTTGATTAATGAGCCGTGTTTTCTCTTCTAATTCCACCTGATTCTCAGCCTCAACAGCTGCAATAAACCACGAGAGTTTTAGTGCAACCTCTGTTAACAGCTGGAAATTAAGCAGAAACAGTAACAACTGAAGAACAAGAACATTAAGAACGTGTACCATCCATGTCGGTGTTCATCACTGCAGGACGGGCTCTTTCCACTCCTGAGGAGAGTTTTCTTGATAGATACTCTGCTCAAAGGGAGAAAAGGACAGAGAAAACTGTTAATGGGAATGTTGTATTTGGATTGCTTTTTCATTTTCTAATGGGTGGTGAAAGGCACTGAGGAACATTTTCAACCAAAATCAGCCAACCTAGGCCTGGGCTGCAGCCACAGGAGTGTGGGCAGCAGGTCAAGGGAGGTGATTCTCCCCCTCTGCTCTGCTCTGGTGAGACCCACCTGGAATCCTGCACACAGTTCTGGTGCCCTAATGTGAGAAGGACATGGAACTGTTGGAGCAAGTCCAGAGGAGGCCATGAAGTGCCTAAGAGCACTGCAGCATCTCCCCTGTGAGGACAGGCTGAGGGAGTTGGGGCTGTTCAGCCTGGAGAAGAGAAGATTGTGTGAGACCTCAGAGCACCTTGCAGGAGCTGAAGGGGCTCCAGGGAAGCTGCAGAGGGATCTATGTTAGGAGCTGCAGGGACAGGACAAGGGGTAATGGGGACAAACTGAAGGAAGAGAAATATAGGTAAGATCTTATGCAGAAGTTTTCCCTGTGAGGGTGGTGAGACCCTGGCCCAGGTTGCCCAGGGAGGCTGTGGCTGCCCCAAGCCTGGCAGTGTTCACAGCCAGGTTGGCTGAGCCTTGAGCAACCTGCTCTGGTGGGAGGTGTCCCTGCCCAGGGCAGGGGTTGGGGCTGGGTGAGCTCTCAGCTCCATTCCAACCCCTGAGGTTCTACGATTCTCCGATTTTCCCCGTTACACTTCCCAGGCCCTTGTGAGCTCCTGTTCGCAGAAGCAGCTGCTCGGATCGGCCGAGCCCTGGCGGTTCGGGGTGGAACCA